GACTACTTGAAGTTAAACTGAGGATGTCATTATTACAGAGCAAAAAGAGTAAGATTCTGAACTGTCTTTATTGCTCATTTTTATGCTCTCCTGCCTGCCTAGCACATGGAAATCAATTTGAATGTGATATGAGTGAAACAAGGATTAATTTTCTAGCTAAAAGTTGTATGTGCAGGAAAAATTCAAATTTTTGATTAGCAAAAATGGGGTTAGTTCTTGAGATACAGTTTTATCTTCTGGCTTTTTCTTCATTTTCTCAGCCCTGATCCTTAAGAACATCAAGGGAAAACTATGTTCACTTTCTTTTTGTTTTACTTAGAAGAAAAACGGATTCAACTATGTGAAAATACATTACACTTTTATAACTAGTTCTAGTCGTCCTGAAAAACCACAGTAGACATACTGTCTTACTTATCTCTGTGCTGAGACAAAAGAACTGATGCCAAAGTTAAAAGAAGGAAATACCTGTTCCGTGTTATGTCTAAGATGTTTGATATTCAGACAGTGAGGTTCAACTCAACTGCCTATGTTATAGGGTAATAATATCATTAAGCTTCTCTTCTGGAGGGTTAACAACTTAAGTTTGCAGACCAAAAATTAGAGAAAAAGAAAGGCTGCAAGGACAGGCAACATTTTGGCCCTAGCCTTTCAAAGTCAGTGAGGACTCAGGACGTTGGAGAACCTGTACTCTAACATCCTGTAACTCAGTTGTGTCCCAAATTTACCGATCAAGAAGATTATGGGGACAAAGAGGAAAGTGATCAATGATGTAGAGTGTGCCTAAGAGAGTCACATGGAGAGAAAACTTTCTCTCAGGCTTTCACAGAGAGCAAATTGGTCAAGCAATGGCCATGACTCATCCACATGGCTGATACTCACAAAGGATCTAAAAACTGCAGTATAGGGTTTCAGGGTAAATCCTCAGGGGATTTGACTAAACTTGGCAGATACAAAACTTACATTTGTTGTATAAGTCTTGATTTATCTTGGTCTTAACCATCCAGCAGGAAAGTATAAAAACGAGGCATAAAAAATAAAGCCATATTAATATGCTTAACTGTAAAAGGCTCAAGTCAACAACTTCTGACATTGCCAGTCCTATGGATAACCCACTACTGTTATGGACTACTGGACTATATTGGATTATTTTGCTGAATTTATGCACCTACAATATTTAAATGGCAATGGAATACCCATCTCTGACAAAACTAAACAAAAAAAGGGGATACAAATGAAGGCCCATTTTGTATCTGCATATACAAAATAGGATAAATATACAGCTACTTTCTCTTAATTCAATGAGAAGAAAGATTTGTACTAATAGTATTTGGACAGGATATCATGTCTGATCTTGTACTATGAATAACCATTACGTAGACAACAACATGCAATGTATTAGTTATTGTAAGTGTCCTACTGACCTGTTTTGAAACTGTCTCATTGCTATTTGTTTCTCAATAAAACTAATTAAAAAATACTTGATGGAAAAAAAACAAATATAAAATAAAATATAGTAGAAGGAAAGAAATTATAAATTCAGAACAGAAAAAAAAACAATGTTTAAAATAAAGGAAAAATTGGCTGGGGAGATGGCTCAGTAGAATAAGCACTTCCCTGGCAAGTGCAAGGGCCTGAGTTCAATCCCCAGTTCCACCAAAAAAAAAAAAAAAAAAAAAAAGAAATTTATTTTGGCTTAGTTTCTAGAGGTTTCAGTTCATATTTAGCTGGCTCCAAGAAAGGGTGGCATGGCAGAACAGCATTATGCCAGAGAGGAGAAGCAGTTCATGGTGGGCAGAAGGCAGAAAGGCAGCAAAGCAGCAAGCAAGAAGCAGCAAATGCCACAAGTAGTCCGTTTTCTATCCCTTATAGTCTATCCAGAGTGGGCTTGTTCATCATTATACACATTCAGAATTATGGCAAACCAATCAAAAGACTGATTTATTAATCAAACACCCTTAATCCAAATACCATATACTCTAGATCCAACCACTTCTGAAAAATCTCCACCTATGAACATACGACACTGTGGGGAGATATCTAGACATAGCCATAACACAAATCAAAACATCCCTTTAAACTGTATACACATAAATTCTGAACTGTATAAGAATACCAATGGATTAAGAATCAGAAGATGTGCTGTCAAAACCAAATGAACTACTATGTATGACAATGACCATGGGCACATCTCTAGGTGCCCTCAGTTTAAGTCATAACAGTAACTGATGGTAGTGACAACAATTAACATGTACTGAATGCTTACCATTACTTCCCTTACATGTAAGACATATCTAATTCTTGCAAAACCCTCATGAGCTGTGATCATCATCTTTACAGATGCAGAAACAGGCACAGAGAAGCTTAGTGTATTGCTTAAGACTAGATAGTGAACGTTCTAAAATGAAATGAGATCAGATGTTATGAAGGTTCATCAATTCAGCTGGAAAGTTCACTGCACTTGTGAGAACGATGAACACATGCCAAAACTAATCATCAGATTTTCTAAGAGGTTATTCTCCTTAGAGTAACACTAACATTAAGCAATGTTCTCTTTGTTGTTTTATATCATTGATATTATACTATATACCATCACTCTTGCCAAGGATAGTTGCGAAATCATTTTAAGAGTATATTACCTAAAAAGGTAAAACTTTTATTGCCTAACTTCTTCTTTCTGCTAATGGTCACTGAACAGTACGATTAAGCACCATACAGAAGTGCCTGTAGTAGAGATAACGTGGCATAGCACGGTGAAATAAAATTCAGATCCTGAGCTGACATGAGTTAAAAACAAGCTACACACTTTAGATAACATCCCTAAAGAGAGTAGACAGTTTTCTATTACAAAAAGTATGCACAGAAAATGACACAAAAGCACCTATCTTTCTCTTTCCGTGTTCAAACCTGTCATTAGGTACCAGGGAGGAAGAGTAGTGTCTGTATCAATATAGAACTCACCATCCACCGTTCCTCCCAAAGACACAGCTGAAATGGACTTTGCCACCAATTACAACTGCCACACAAAAACTCCTGCTTAAGATCACAGGTCCAAAGTGAGCTCTTCTGTTAAGTTATATGTTGCACATTACATTCCAATCCAATCAAGGAAAAAAAAAAACTTTAAAAATCTCCGTTTAAAGTCATAAACACATGGACTCTCAAGAATCTTCAGATTGTTAACTACCCATGTTAGGGCTTTCAAATGTAAAACTACACTTCTACCTCAGCAAAGTTTGTGTTAAGGTTATTAAAGTAATTGTGGCCCAATTTGAAATAAAAGAGAGTAAGCATTTCTTCAGGAGATATAATATTTTATATACAACTTTTTATCCCTTAGGTACATGACATCTTAAAAACCAGCTGCATACCAAAATTGCCTTTGCAATTCTAGAGTGAGACATCTTCATAGTTTTCATACTGTTAGAAATATGTCAATCTGTACTTTACTGCAACCAATATAAGAACAAATATTACTGACAGGTAAATCAAAATGCCTTAACCAAAATACATCTAACAATAGCTATATCCAAGTTATGCATGAACCTTAGGAACAACCATTAAAGAAGCAAAATGTAGTGCCTGTGTGTATAGAATGACTGCAGGGCAGTACTTTCTGATTTGCTAAGGATTTTCATACTTTTTGCTTGTTGTTCTACTGTAATTATCAACAGCACCCTTTTACAAATTTCAAAGTTTTTCAGCTTGGATGCAAACTTTTAGTCATTAAAAAGGATACATCTCTGTAGAGAAATTTACTAAATAAAATTAATAACCTACATTATATGAATGTTTATAGCAAAATTCTAAAAAAACAAAAACAAAGAATGATTACAAAGTATAGAGAATATTCGAGATGGGGAGAGAAATATAACTACAGCACCAGTGGTACTGAATTTTGAACATTATGGTAGACCCTTCAATATTCATTTGATAGTTCTGATTCATAATTAACATTATATATAATATCCCATAATACATGTAAATAAAATTACCAAAGTATTTATTAGGGATTCAATATCCATCCAAGTAGGGTATTTCTGGCAGTCACCTATATTGTGTTAGTAAAAACTGCACAGAAAAAGCTATATAAATTTTGGTGATAAAGAAAAGCTAGTTGTTTGTTGGGTTTGAATGGTTAATGTAAGAAAGGTAGAAGATGACTCAATTTGCAACAAAATGAACATTCCAGTAACATAACAGATGATGTAGAAGATACAGAAGGATGTATGACAACTGAAAAAATTGAACAGCTTACATAAGAAAGAAGGAACAAGTTTGTACCTTCAGATGTATATTATACAAAACAATGATGCTCTGCATGTATTTTGACACTTATCAGTATGTAAATATGATCAGACAAGATAAATATAAATTCAAAAATAATTTAGGTAAAAAACTGCTGTGATTATATATTGGAAAAAGGTGAATACTAGTTAACAATCTCACTTTAGTGCACATAGAGGATTTCATTTAACAGAATCATTACAAAAGATATATTAAGAGAGTTTATGTTTTTGAAAAACTGAAGATATCAAAGTAGTTGGTCATTTTACTTTATTTTATTTCAGTTTTATTTATTTGGTATAGGGTCTCACTACACAGCTCAGAATTGTGATGATCCTCCCGCCTCAGTCTTCCTAGGACTTGGATTACAGGCGTGCACCACCATGCACAGCTTCAGTGGCTGGCTTGGTATGGGGCCAGCACAGTATGTGGTACATGGGATTGAGCCCGGGGCCTTGAGCTTGCCAGGCAGGTATGTAGACTGCTGAGCTATCTCCCAGGCCTGGTCATTTCATTAAATGAGTGGTTATATCCATTTGTTAAATGGTTTTAGGAACTGGCATCCTTCGGTGAGAATTCAGTTATATGCATGGTATACAATTCCAGCACTACCTTTTTAAACAGCATGATAAGGTAAGGGAATTGGAGCACCACTGCTGAACACTGTTACTGTCTTTATTAACAAGAATGTCAAAATGAATAAAAAAAGTGAATACCTGGAATACTTGCAGGAGAAATTGGGCCAGATCGTGACTGATTGCTTCCTACAGGAGAACCAACTGGAGAAGGTGAGGGGCCTCCTGGGATACTGGAGAGATGGGGCGATGCATGTGGAGAGAAAGGTGACTGAGCTGGGTTGCTCTGATCCCCTTGGCTGCTTGTAGACCCAGATGCACTTACTGCTGAGCTCAAGGTTGCTTCTGTTCCTGTGGGGAGGTCATCAATGGAGCCAGACAGGTCCTGAGAAGAAAATAAGCACATATTTATATAGTAGTACATATTGGAATCAATACCCAATCAAAATCAAAATTTATTTAAAAATCATAATTTCACTCCCTTCTGAGAAAAGATTTTTGGGATAACTCCCACAATTCAGAGTATGGCCGCTTGTTATCAGAAGACTTTTATAAGCTCACTCATAGAAAAAAAATCAATAAGCTTTGGCATGTAGTAAAAAATGAAAGTTGTGCCTCTTTCATAAAACCATGCTTGAAACTTTTTTCTTTACTACCAGCATGGAGCCTGTTAAGACTATTCCAAGTGCAACACAGAATAGCCCTCTGTGGGATGAATTAACATAGGCATGGTATGCCTGGTTTGTAAATGAGGACTTCAATAAGCAGCATTACTACAGGCTCTGGGGCCCTTAATTTAGAATTTGATATTGGCAAACTGGGCTTCAAACTAGAACACTGTAATGTACTAAGGGTCAAAATCTTTATCAAACTTTGTCAAAAGTTTTAATCAAATCTTGTATTTTAAATGACTGCAAAATATCATGATAATAAAACAATGATATTTGTGCCTTTTTATGTATTGTGAGAATAAGTTTCTCTGAAGTTATATTGGCATAAATACATTGCAATGTTTTATCCTTATTCTTGATATGCCAAATTTATGGTGTTAATGTCATTTAATTTAACCATAACAGTTTCTGGGGGGGGGCAGTTATCAAAATCTTCTTTTGACAGGTTGAAAAACTGAAGCTTACAAAGCTATTGGTGACCAAGGAAATAATGCAGTTGTTACAGAAAATAAAGAAAAGAAGATGGTTTTCTGTACCTTTACCAGAATGTGAGCAGGACAAAGACTTTATTGTGGTCCATTTCCTGCTGTGCCCTAATGGCTTAGAGTGCTCAGCAACTAGTCTCTGGCCAGCTGGACCCACTAGACTTTTCTGCAAACACCATCAAGCATGGGGGCTGAATGCAGAGTACATTATAAAAGCTGAGTTGTAGCATAAAACACTTTGTCCTGCTAATTTGCGGAGTGGAATCAGAGATACCTAGTTATGTTACTGCATGCAAGTCATGTTCAATTTTAAGAGATACTCTTTATTATCTCTTTCAATTTTGCTTACAAAGGAGACTTTTAAAACCAAAGCTTTGAAAACTAGTGGAAGTAAAATGCTTCCAGTTTTACGAATAAATGTAGTCCAGAAGGTATGAAAGGAGCAAGGTCTCTCACAAAGATACAGTAAAATATCACAAAGCAAACTCAGAATTGAGATCCTAGTTCCCTGGACAGCTATTTGTTGAGATGTTATAGTATGTAATTAACTTCTCAAGTTTACCAACAAAACTGTCAATGATTTAAAAATATATCCTAAAGTACAGCTGAAGAGCACTTCACAAAAAGCTGAATGTAAAATCTTTTACTAAGATGAACAAATAAGTAAAATAGAATGACCTTTAGTTAGGGAATAGTGGCACACTCCTGTAATCCTAGCTACTCAAAAGGCTGAGATAGCAGGATCTCAAGTTTGATGATGGGCTGAGTATCTTAGTCTTAGTGTTAGTGTTAGACCTTGTCTCAAATTAAATACAAAGGTTAGAGGCAGATAGAAAAATGGCTGGCTAGCATGCAAGAGGCCCTGGGTTCTACACGTCTTTGGAAAAAAAAAAAAAAAAAAAAAAAGAGTACTAGTACTTCACTGTCTAACAATTATTAATTATGAAAAACAAAATGATGGTAACAGCAGATTGAAAAAAACCATGTCTGGATGAAATACTATCAATTATGCTTCTTATTTTTTGTACCAGGAATCAAACTCATGACCTTGTGCTTTCCAGGCAGGCACTTAAGCCACCAAGCTATTTCTCCAGCCTCTTTCACAAGTTTAGCATAGACTGATATACACTGAATCAGATTTTCAGAATTCAGAAAAAAAAAATTCTGCTCAGGGCACACTAGATACACAAGTTTGCCCATATTCAGCTGGGAGAACTATTTGATTTTACTGTTGGATTCAACGATATTTCCGTGAACACCTTCCAAAATGAATAAAACTTTTGCAAAGCCAAGTAGAGACAGAGGAAGGTTATAAAGCCAGTAACATGCTACATACAAGCAATTACACCTCAGTAATCAAGGTAATTATAAAAATATGGTTACCAGACAATCTCATAAACTAATACGCTCAAAGACAAAAAGTAGGACCTGACTCTCGGCTTTCCTCTAGCCCCAGGCTGCCTGCTGATTTATAACTGAGCACAACCTTCATGTTGTAGTGATGCTGGGATGGGAAAGAGTGGTCAGAGTATCAGATAATTCTTGCAGTTTTGGAATTCTCTTCCTCACTTATGTAACCAACTGTAACAGTCCTTCTTAAAATCAAGAGAGGGCAAAATAGGGCCTGTTGTCTGAATGTAGGGTGTTTTTGCTCTTCTCAAAGGTATACATTGTTAAATATTTGAAAAGGCTTTAAAAATATTATTTTGTGACATGCAAAAAACATGAAATTAAAAGTATGTGCTTATAGCATTTCACTGGATGCACCATATGCATGCCTTTCTGTATTGCCTATGACTGCTCCAGGTCAGACCAGAGACAGACCTTGTGGCCTGCAAAGCCCACAGTATTTACCATGTGGCCCTGACAGGACCAGACTGCTGACCTTTGACTAGAAGATACACATACACCAGTATTGCTTCTACTGTCTTTGCCTCTTCCTTTGGGGAAGTCTGAATTAAGAGAAGCCTCAGATGAACTGTACAAAGGCCTCATTATGCATTATGATTTGTACAGTCTTTAACAAGACCAGCAACTTACTTCATTATCACAACCATCTGAGCCTCCCAGTAGAATGGAAGGCAACCTCCACAGGCTTGGAGCTTTCTTAACATGTTACCACTGAGAAACACTAGTAAGCAAAGGCCAGTTAGACAGAACTCAGCATAAGGAAACATGCTTCTCTGGAGAAAAGGTATTATGGAAAAACAACTAGATACACAAATATTTTCTATTACATTCCATATGGAGTTAAACATAGAAAGGAAAATGCAGATTTCATTTTTTAAAAACCACCAATTGTAGTTAAATAAATCTTCATGAAAACTAAACAGTACATGGAAATTTTTGTACTTTTCCACATAGCCTACACATTCCTTCCCTGTCCTCCTTTAAAATTCCACATTACGGTTGAAAAAGTAACATCAATGGGTACTAAGAGAATTTCATTTAAGCTACAAAGGCATCAAAAACATATCTGTTATTCAACAAGCTGATCAAGGAACTATCAAGAGGAATATATAAAAATGGTGGCTTTCTTTGTGTTCACCTGTCATCAGAATTTCAGTGCTGACTAGACATTGGTGCAACAGAAGAGTAATAAAAAGATATAATTTTATATTGCTGCTATAAATATACAACTTTTATATGTAAATTATATGAAAATATTCCCATCCTGCAGATACTTAATGTATACATATGTAGAGCTATCTTAAAACACACTAATAAAATAAGTTTAAAGTGGTTTAAGCATTCAGCCTAGTTAACAAAGAAGCTCTGTAACTAATACTCCCCTAGAGAACAATTTAGTCAGTAGGGCACAACTCCCTTCTTTTATAAGTACTATTAGATCTATGATGCCTGTAAAGAACAGAGAGGCCTCTCTGCATCTCATTCCAGCAGAGACACCTTCAAGCTACAGTGCTTCCATTTATCTTGCTGTAGTAGGAGGTAGAAGAGCTTGTAGGGAGAACTCCTCAGGTACAGAAGTCCCCTGCCCCACAGCAACGCTCTAGGCTACTTGATAGAGTGACAGATAAGGCAATCATTTCATAGGCTCATGCACAGTAAAGTCACTATTTTTCCATCATAATTTGATTTGGGAAATACTGTTGTCAAGATGGGTTTTCAACATCTCACATCACTCAGAACACTTTCTACTTCCCCAATCACCAAAAATCTTATGACTCCCACTACTGATATATTTTTTTAAAAAATAAATCATTGTCTAAAATCCCAACCAAAAAAACTCCAAACCCAAAACAATAAAGAACCATAAAACTTGTTTTACTTTAAAATATAACTAACTGAAAGTCCTCTGTAAAGATTTTTTTTTATGAACATCACTCTTTCACCTTATCTTTGTCCTGCTAAAATTTTAGTTCTAACCCAAGTGAAAAATAGGTATAAAATGACATGCCACCAGAGAGCAGTAACAATCTTATTTGACAAAAGTCTCTGACAAAAGAAACATTTATAAATTAATATACAGAATACTGGTGTATTTTAATTCAATACACTTGGTTAGGGATGGAGAGGGCAATAATTGAATGTATATGGGGACATTCCACAAAGAAGGCACATAGAATTTTTATAGATCTACATGTACATTAAACAGATATATGACATCAAGTATGAATATTTTCTTATGTCTATGTATTTTGTAGATTGCATAACCTCCCTGAGAATTTTATATTAATAATTATGACTCACTATCTTCTCACTATCTCATTATGACTTGGATGGTAGTCACTGTACCATAAATTAGCCTTATAAAGAGCAAATTCAGTCAGTGTTGGTGATGTTTTACTGTCTTAAAAAACTGGGAATTAATTTATAAAATAAATTTATTCCCTTGCTTAAATAAATAAATAAATGGATTTTTAAAAAAGGAAAGGAACTTCCAAATACACTAAGCTCTGGTTCTCAGCACAATGGTTATGGTATGGGGTAAGTGCTGTTAGCTAGCTGCCCCTAATACTGTACACATTTATATACTGCATTCTCAGAAGTCTCCCAGAGAGCACCAGGATAAACAATAACCTAAAAATAGAGAAGATATTTCAATCAATGCAACTAGCTTAGGTCTTGTTTCAAGATTTTAATACAGTTCATAATTTTTTCCCATGATTTCCCATGGGTTTCAAGCAGAGGTTAAAACACCATTTCAACAGTCTTAACAAAAAAAGAAGACCTGGCATCTTCAAAGGCAGAAAGAACATATCTTCCTT